TGCCACTCAAAAGCCCCCTCTTCCAGCCAGCTGCAAATCACCGCCTGACACAACTAGAGCACATCCCAATTAGGAGATTAAGCAGACCTTCTCCTCCTTTTGTTAAAAGCTAATGAATTCCCTCATACAAGTAATTTTCCAAATAATGGGCCCCAGACCCTACAGCACAGAAACCTTTATAAATCAGGACTGTCCCCAACCCGGCCACCAAGCGTTCACAAAAGGAGGAGAGTCAGAGCCAAGGCTAGGACTTAACCAGCAAGCGGACTTCGCTATGGACTCCAGGCACGACCCAAGCTCCTGGAAGAGGCTCATTCTCCTGCCCTTCACCCTGGGCATGACTGATCCCCAGTGCCGTGGCAGGGCATCACCACGGCTCTCCAGCCCCAGAGCAGCACCCCGGGGTGCTGGTTACAGGTTTAGGCACAAAGAGCACATGGAGCTGCTGCTGCATTAAGCCCAATGCAACCCATGAGGACATCATCCCATAGTTCGCATGGCTGGGGGGCTTTTCCAGCTGCCTTTTCAGCTCCAGCTCAGTCTGCCATGGAAATGGTTTATAAATAAGATACTATGAAAATGTATGATTCTTGAAAGAGCCGAGAAAAGGTTGCAATCTGTACAGCTGCAGAAAGAAGTTCTAGCTCATGGATGTGCAAGTTGTCTTCTCAGACTGGTTTGGACAGGAGAGGGTTCTTGCAAAAACAATTTAAGTTTCAGAAAGTTCAGCTTGGGGTAGGAACCCTGAGAAAACCACTTTATTTCTGAGATCTCTCTGGCTGCGGGGCCAGAGAGCAAGTCCTATCCCTTCTTCCCCACACCCTAAAGGAGCAACAGCATAGCCCAAAGAAACCTTTAAGGAAGTCGTCAAACCCTGTGATGAAAACAAATCTGGAAGAGCAGGTAAAAGGTAGTGCCGTAAACTGCAGCTCGAGAGCATCGCGGCGGGTAAATTGCTTTTTAACAAGCAGACAAGTTCTATCAATAGCATCTACCGTATGTTTTTATAAAGTGCAGAAATATGTTTTTAAAAGGCCAGTAAATAAAGTTCCTATCGATTTGATCTCAAGCGTAATCTGTTTTTCTGTCTGCCACCAACAGTGGTAATAAAACAGAATCATGTAACACGGCGTTTCAGCTAATGTGACTATACATCACGGCAGGGGCTGCGTGCTCGCTGGCGATCTATCATTTTCTATTGGGATTGCTTAGCTGCAGAATTTATAAGCTTGCCCCAAATTGATGCAATGTCCAATTTTCTTTTCCAATTTATTTTTGGTTGAGCAAAGCAATATTGAGGCAGGACAAGGAGGGCGCATTTCCCATCTATCCAGATGTTCTCCACTCCGCTCCTGCTTCCTCCTTGGCCTGGGAAAGGGCCTGGCAGCAGCTCCTCTGCCAGGGTTTTTAGGAGGATGGCAGCAGACGCTTTAACGGCTGCGTTTGGCGTTTGCTCCACGTCTTTGCAGCAGTACCCAAAGGCTCCACGGGATGCCTGTAGAGCAAGTTATCTGATGCTCAGAGGGGTCTCCCGGCAAGGACCGAGCATCCACAGCATCTCAGAGCTGCATCTCGCGCTCACCCAGACCTCTGCAACACCAGGACGGACCAACTGGCTGCTCTGCTCCAGCACAGGGCTGTGGGACAGACGCTTCCCACGTGCCCAAGCCATGCATAGGGCAGGTTTGTATATCTGTGCCCAGCAGTTAAAAGGGTTTCCAGGGTACCCAAACCATCAGTCACCGGCCTCCTGTGTCCGGCGATGCATCTCATCCCTTTGCCCGAGCACGCTGCTTGCAGAGAGAGCAGCCAGATGTAACGGCTGCCTTAGTTGCACCAAAGAAGTCAAAGACGGGTCTTCTGGGAAGTAAAAGCAATGTTTGGTAGAGCTGGCTGCCAGGCTGCAGTGCCCCAGTGTCTAAACTGGATATGCACCAGTACAGAAAAACCCTATAAACGCACATAAGGTGACATATTAAAATCCCCCAGGCCGAGCGGTGGTAGATGCCGATCAAAGCACAGCTTTGCAAGATGCCACCCCACTTTAAGGACCTTCACCCACAAACACATTGACTTCGCCTTCACCAAGGAGCATCAAGGCACATCAGGGCTGCGAGCAGAGACCTTCGGCAGAGCAAAATGCGGCCCCCACCAGACCTGTTACCCATTATCTGGAACGAGGATGGGAAATGTCCCACCCCCCCCTCGGAAAACTGATAAATATTTCCGGAGATAAAAAACAAACACTCTGCATTTGGCTTTTTCGGTGGTTGTTTTTCTTGAAGAGACAAAGTGTTCCACAGAAAGCAGACACTTCCCACACAAGTTTTCATACTCAAACCCCGAGTTTTTCTGCCACCGATTTTGACGGAAAAATCGTAGCCAGGCCTTTACCCAGCCCGTTTCTCACCACTCCATCCACAAGATCACCGAGCCTCAACAGGGCCGTAGCACCCTGCCATGCTGAGAAACATCACATATAGATGGAGATAACTTTAGCAAAGTGAGGTTTCCCATTCTCACTTGGGGATTAAAAAAAAAAAATCAAGTTTCCTGACCTTAGAAATCCCATTGTAAACCATAAAAAGCAACCCCATCACCTGTGCACGCCTCAGCCCTGGTACAGGATGAGGCAACTCTTGTTCCCACTCACTTTAGGGTGATTTTTTTGGGGAAAAAGATTATCCCAAAGTTTCCTTACAGGTTCAGGGGTAAGAAAAATACATATTCCTATAGCGAAAGCCTGAAGCAATTCAGAGCCAGTTCTCTGCAACCGATTTAAGGCCATCCAGCCCCTTGCCCAAAATTAAACCCCTAGTTTGCATGCTGCAAAAGCTGGAAGGCTCCTGGCTGTGCGGCGCTGGGGATGTGTTTCTGGCTAAGGCCGGAGGAGAGAACAAATGCAAACCAAGGGAAGCAGCGGGGCCCGTGTCCTCAGATGCCGCCTCAGCGCAAGATGTGCTGAGTTGTCTTGGAAGGAAATGGTGCCAAATCCGCCAGCAGAGACGAGCCATCAGCCAGCCGGAGCCGCTGGCCCTGTGCAATGGGCTCCCCGGGGGACCTGCCCTCCACCCAGTGCCACAGCCGGCATCCCACCCCAAAATAAACATGCACAAGTGACACACACAGCCAGCTCCCAAGTCCAGCCTGGGCAGGTTCACTCACCTGCTCTTGTTTTCAGGTTCACAAATGCAAAGCCTACATCCCCCCCGGCACAGCCGGGCAAAGGCCTGGCTCTGCTTACCCCCCAGATCCTCCCCACAGCCGGCAGCATCGTTTACTGGACGGAGCAGCATCCACCTGCATCACCACAGCCAAGTCCCATCCCTTCCCTTCTCCCTGCTCATCACCACAGCCAAGTCCCATCCCTTCCCCCTGCCGTAGTTTGCTTTCCAGGACAAAAATAAAAAAGAAAAGCAACTGCCTACATCCCTGGGAAACTTCAAACTACTGGAAAGCAATGCACAAGTGATGGGTGGTTTTACATACAGCACCCTCTGCCAGGGAGGATTTTTTTTTTTTTGGAAGAATCAGACACCGTTAAGGGAAAGTTATACTTCAAACCATGTGATCCACAGGGGGAAGAGACTTTCCAGACAGCGATGAAGCAGCCAGAAAAACTGATTCTTAACACTTCAAGGTAAAGCCAAGATGCACAAGAGCTGAGTTTCTCCCTCATTAGCTACGGCTGAAGCGTCTGCAGCTGCCGGGGTGGGAGCTGATGATGGGGAAACCGCACATGGCAGTTATCAGGGTGCCGGCAAGGATTGCCCTGGGGATCTGGGGACAAGGTCTCCTCTGCAAGCTGATGCCAGCGCACCCTCCGACCGGCTGTGGTCCCCAAGCTGGGCAGGTGGCAGCGGGACACCGGGGGGTGCAGGATGCCACGCCAACACCCAGCAGAGACCAGTGCAACAGCGGCACTTGTCCTCCCTTCTCCTCCCCTGCCCAGGACACCCCTCAGCACAGGGGTCGCCGGGCCGCGGTGCAGGACCCATCGGCTCCCAGTGCCTCCAGTGCCCCGGTGGCTCCCAGAGCCCGG